AGTCCAAATGGCATTCTCCTAAATGCAAAGGTTCCATATGGGCAAGTAAAAGTGGCCTTCTCCTGATCTTCAACTGCAATGGGTACTTGAAGATACCCAGAGTAGCCATCTAGGAAGCAATAATATTCGTGCCCTGCAAGTCTCTCTATCATTTGATCAATAAATGGCAAAGGGAAGTGTTCTTTCCTAGTGGCCTCATTCAACTTTTGATAGTCTATGCACACCCTCCAGCCAGTTATTGTTCTTGTGGGAGTTGATTCATTATTTTCATTTAAAATTATAGTAATCCCCCCTTTCTTTGGTACGACTTGAACAGGACTTGCCCATGATGAATCAGAAATCGGGTAGATAATACCTGCTTCGAGCCATTTCAGAATTTCTGTCTTCACTACCTATTGCATTTTAGGGTTCAGCCTCCTTTGTGGTTGTGCCTTGGGATTGCAGCCTTGTTCCATCAGAATTTTGTGCGTGCATACCAAAGGGTTAATCTCTTTTATGTCGGCGATGCTCCACCCTATGGTCGATATATGTTGCTTGAACACTCTCACAAGCTTCTCCTCTTGGAGACCTGTCAATTCAGAAGAGATAATTATAGGTAAGGTGGAACTGTCTCCCAAAAATATATATTTTAAATGAAAAAGGTAAGGGTTTTAAGTTCCAAACCTGGAGGTGCTTTGATGGAGGGTAGCAAGTGTTTGGCAGAATCTGACCCTTCTAGTGGCAGAAATTTTCCTTGTCTTGGCTTACACCCTTCCTAGCCGGCCTCCAAATAGTTCACTGCCTCCTTCTCTTCCTCCTCCATAATCTGCAAAATTTTACATGAATCAGAACTGCAGCTTTCAAAGGAGTTGTCTAATTTGGGTGAGTTAATCTCAGCTGCCCAAATATCTATACAATCGATTGCATATACTTCATGTTCACTTGTGTTGGGATACTTCATGGTTTGAAATACATTAAACACTACTTCTTCACCATTGATTCTAACAGTAAGTAGACCCTTTTCTACATCAATTAAGGCATTACCAGTTGCAAGAAAGGGTCTCCCTAGAATCAATGGCATTGTCCTATCTTCCTCCATATCCAACACAATGAAATCAACAGGAATGATGAAATTACCTACTTTAACCAAAACATCTTCTACTATTCCCCTATGGTATTTAATGCTTCGATCTACTAATTATAGGGTAATAGTTGTAGATGTTAACTCATGCAATTCGAGCTTTTCAAAAATAGAGTAAGGCATTAAATTTATACTAGCACCCAAATCACATAAAGATTTTTCAAATTCAGTATTCCCTATGGTACAAGGTATAGAAAAACTCCCTGGATCCATCAGCTTTGGGGGCAATTTATTTTGAAGAATGCCTGATCACTCTTCATTTAACTTCACCATCCCGCAGTCCTCCCATTTCCTTTTGTTCGACATCACCTCCTTCAAGAATTTAGCATATTTCGACATCTGTGACAACACATCAAGAAGAGGGATGTTAATACGAATCTTTTTAAATACTTCAAACTGTTTATCTAGATTAGCCTTCAAAACTCTTATGGGGTAGGGGAGAGGAAGTTTAATAGCATCTAAATTCAGTTTAGTTGTACTCCCCTTGGCCTCCTTTTCTGGATCAACCACTTCAGCTTTTTGGTCATCGTTCTGGGTCTCGCCAACTGTCTTCCCACTTCTCAAAGCTATGGCATTTACTTGCTTTCTTGGATTCTTCTCCGTATTGCTGGGCAATCGTCCCTCATTTCTTTCCGACAACAGATTCATAATCTACCCCATTTGGACTTCTAGGTTCTTAATTGATGCTTCTTGACTTGAGAACTTTTTTTCATGTTCTTGAAGTTTTGTTTCAGCAGCATTGATGAACTTAGAAATCATTTATTCCAAATTACTCTTCTTTTCTTGTGGGGGCGGCTGTTGTTGGAATCCTATGGGTGCTTTTTGCTGGTTGTTGTTCCATGAAAAATTTGGATGATTCCTCCACCCTGGGTTGTATGTGTTTGAGTAGGGGTTGAAATTCGGCCTACCAGTATGAGAGATAAAATTAGCATTCTCATGTGAAGTAAAAGCATTACCTAATGGACAATCAGAATTAGTATGTCCTATTTGACCACAGAAATCACATGGGATGCTAGATGATGTATTCATTGTTGCAATATTCAAAGTATCAAATTTTTTATTCAAGCTAGCAAGTTGAGCAGATATGGCTGCAAGGGAATCGATGTGGTGTACTCCCCTTCGATCAGTTCGTTCATTACTCCACTGGTAGTTGTTCGACACCATCTCTTCCACTAGATCATAGGCTTCATCTGGCGTTTTCCTCATGATTGTGCCACCTACAGCTGCATCAATGATGGAACGATTAGATGGGGTAATACCATTATAAAAAGTTTGGATTTGTTGCCAAGTTGGTATCCCATGGTGAGGACACTTCCTAAGCATCTCCTTGAATCATTCCCATGCTTCATACAAAGATTCTCTCTCTAATTGAGCAAAAGTAGTGATATCATTAATTAATTTTGTTGTCTTGGAGGGTGGAAAATACTTAGCCAAGAATTTTTGGGTCAAATCATTCCAAGTGGTGATGCTTCCTACAGGGAGTGAGTTAAGCCAATCTTAAGCTCTATCATGCAATGAAAATGGAAATAATCTTAAGCCTAATAGCATCATCGCTAACTCCATTATGTTTAAATGTATCACATGTTTCTAGGAAATTAACAATATGTGCATTAGGGTCATCCCTTGGCAACCCACTAAATTGAATACTTGTCTTAATCATTTGGATGATTGCAGGCTTGATTTCGAAATTATTGGCCTGAATTGTGGGCTTGCAAATGCTGGAAGCAGCCCCATCAATTGTTAGACAAGCATAGTCCAAAAGGGTGCGATTTGCTTCTACCATCTCTTCCTCAATTTCTATTGCGGGTTCGCCAATTTCAACCTCCTCTCTCGCTTTACCCTTGTTGGCCCTTTGTAATAAGCGAAGGGTCCTCTCAATTTCAGGATCGAATTCTACTAGTCCCTCTCTTCTAGTGTGTGTCATGCACTAGTAAATCTGAACAAAGCAAGAATTCAAACAAATGAAAAAATTAAACAAAATAATAAAATAATAAAAACAGAAATAAAAATCCAAATTAATCAAGGTTAACAAGTTCTAATATTATTTTAGGATTAAATCCCCAGCAATGGCGCCAAAAACTTGATAGCTAAAATTATAACCCTACCAAGTGCACTAGTTATCAAGTAGTATAAAAAAATCGCTCCCACGAGGATTTAACAAAATAAGTATTAGAACTACAGTCTTCTCTAATTATTTGGACAATCGAAATTCAGATTTAAGAGTAAGAACTACTGAAAATAAAAATAGAAAAATAAAATAAAAGCAATGACAATCAATAACTGAATATGCAATGAGTGAAATCGCTAGGACCATTGGTCCACCTAACCATTCTAATGAATATTAACGGATGCGATTAACCAAGATCATTTGTCATTCCCATAAGCTGAAGTTTTTCCCAATTTTATTTAATATTCTTTCCCAAGATATATTAAACCTATTTCTGTCAAGTAACCCCT